TCCGATGGAGGCTTGATAGAAATCGACCCCACAAACTCAGAAGGGGAATATATTTCAGAGAATGATCATCCCCACAATAAATAGCTTTCTCCAATCAAGGACCCCTGCTGCCGAAGCTGCCATGACGAGCACACAAGACTGTAACCAAAAACCAAAGAGCCACCCAAACAAACTCCAAAAGAAAAAAAATACCTCACAAAACTAGGGATGGCAAACGGGCAGGTCGGGTGCAGATACCTCATCCCCATACCCACATAATAGTTTCCAATCCACCACCCACCCACCACCCATGATGGGTAAAAATTTTCAAATCCACACCTGATCACGTGGGTACATTCTCAAATCCATCCCCACACCCACTACCCAACTGAAGACATACCCGGCTAGACACTCCTAACAGCTAGGGGTGTGCAAAAAAATATGATCCGTTGATCCAATCAAAAAATTCAGATATTCGATCCGTTTTTCAATTTTTGGATAGTCCGGATCGGGTATCCGAAATTTTTTCGGATTATCAGATCGGATATGATCGATAAAAACAATGTTTGGATTATCCGAAAACCTAAAAAATTGGGCTATATTCAAAGACCATAAGAGGTTTTCGTATAAGGTGTGGGTACGACTTATTCATCCTGAGTTATCACAAAAGAAGTCTGAAGTTAAGGCGTGGACACGCCTTACCAGTTTGTACAACCCTAAATTAGGGTTATAAATTTACAAGGAAAAAACAAATTAATGACGGTTGAAAGACTCTATTGAATCATTCTTATCTTTAAAAAAAGATGAGGGTATTCAAAACCCCTATTTTGGTGTGATTTACTTCGGGGAAACTTCCTTATCTATAATAGGACAATCCTTATCAAAATAACGGAGTATTGACTATTGGTCTTGTATCTTGAACTGAACTAAGATGATTAGATATGAAAACTGGAGTATTCATCTTATGACAAATTAAAGCGGCCAAAAACAACTTCAATGCAACAAATAAGATTGGGGAAATTGGTTTTGGATCTGTGTATAAGGTGACATATAACTCTGCTACCCGTAGAGGAGACCAGAGTAAAGAAGATGAAGAAGGCGTACCTGAATGAGTTGGAGACCAGAGTTTGAAACTTAGAGAAGAAGAACTATCATAATATCAGCTCAGTAACCAGCAAGCAAAACACAATAGGTTTGAAAGAAAAAAATTGATTCATAAATTTATCCTTAATATTTGGTTAAATTATAAGTTATATCTTATACAATATTAAGATTTATAAATTAGTCTCTAAAATTATATCTAAATTCATAATGATCCAAAATTTAATGGATATTTAGTGGGCGGGCTGATGCGGGGCGGATAAGGTCTCAAACCCATCACCCGCCCACTACCCGCGACGGGTACCACTTTCTAAATCCACACCCGCCCACTACCCACTAAAGTTATACCCATCTCCGCCCCAATTGGAGCGGATACGGTGTGGAATCCATGAAATTGTACCCATTTGCCATCCCTACACAAAACCAAAGAAAACAAACTTTTCTTTGGGTGCACGTTAGTCTAGCTAACATGCACCATCCCCCGTATCAAAATAATTTTCCATAGCATGTATAAAATTGTATTGTAATTTTATGCCATGTTTGTATAAACTGTAATTATATAATTTAAATTTGAAATGATATTAATTATTATAGAAACAATCCTAAACCTTGAAAATATTTTATTAGTATTTAAGTATTTCATAATAATATTATAAATAAAATTTACGTGGCTGAACTGAGTTCATGAAATGCATGACGTAAACATGCGCGAACGTGTTTGAGTTTCGAATTCATATGGATACCTTTCCGCCTGCCACAATTATGTTCAAGTTATTTGTAATTCATGTTCATTATTCACGTGTTTAAGAAATTTGTTTTCTTTAAATAACAATATTTAAAAAAAAATAAAACTTTAGAAAAATATAAACTATATATGTCAGATAATTTTTTTAATAGCTATTATAATCAGGACGGAGCCAGAATTAAATATTGGTAGGGTCGAAATATTAGAATATTTAAGAAAAATATAAAGACTTATTATGTATTTAAACTCGAAAATCAGCATGAACCAATGACATTATTGATTAAGGGATTTTTGTTATCCTTGAGTTCCCGAGTTCAAACATGTATGTAGTGGTATGAGCGTTCATTGTCAAATAGTTGAAAGTTTTTGTACATATATTATTTTGTATTCATCCTATATTTAAAAAAAAACTCAAAAGACAACTTCTAATTTGTCCAATATTTAAACATATAATGACTTAAATTGTAATTAGACCAAAAATTTGAGAACACTGACTTATCATTCTTTAGCTCGACTCTTAGTTGATTAAATATTTAATAATGTTTTATATTTAAATATTTATTTTTACATGAACTAAAATACTATTAAACTAAAATTATATCAAATGTATAACTTTTAACAGGGGTCGGGGATCCCTTGGACCCTAAGGGAGCTCCATCCTTGATTATAATATAAACACTTAAATGATTATAATATAAACACTTAAAAGAATAAGGCATGAACACATAGTTTAAATGAAAAATACTTTAATCATGATCTAAAGTGAACAAAAATATTGATTGAATACTTTTTCTTTTTCATTTAATCAAATATCAATCATATTATTTATTTTAATTCATTTCACACTCATATAAAAAATCAGCACTACACGAACTCAACAAATGATCTCGATGGTAAAAGAGAATATTATTCTCACTAAAAACTCTAGGTTCGAATAGTTACGTCTATAAATATGTGTTATCAGTTAATTAAAAAAAATCTAAACAAATATTAGATTACAAATCATCATAAACTATTAAAAAAATACTAGCACTACACTATCCCAAACTAAAATACTCATAAAAAGACATTATCCAGCATATCAAATCCCTATACATACTTGTAAGCCAACTAAACATGCATCATGCATAATGATCGCTTGTAAATGTATATGCTAAGACAAGAAATTATGTGCAAGTATACACAATCGAATCAAGTAATATAGAGTAAGTGAGTTATCGTCTCCTCAGGGATTGGTCGAATTTTTTTAACCTTCACCACAACTAGAACTAGTTGTCACAATCTAATTCCTACTATCTTATCAAACTAGAAAATTAGTAATAAAGCAATAAAACTATAAAGTATGATTGTAGAAAAGTTTGGTCGAGACAAAATAAATATGCTTAACTAATGAAATAGAATAAATAAAGCAAGAACAAACTTTGATTCAAATATTTCTAAAACAACCTCACATATTCAGACTTATCACAGAGCACTCATGTTAATCTTTTGTATTGATAAGAAATTATTCTAAGTCCATAATGAATTGTTATGACATGCTTAAGCTGCCCGGCAGGATTACTAAGTATTCTTAGACGGTTGCTATGGCAATACTACATAGCGTTAACTACAACCCTTGGTTTGTTAGACTGTTGTTGTAGCAATACCTCTCAGCGTAAACTATAGTCGTTGTCTATCCTACTTTACCATCTATCCCTTTTAGTTGATTGAAACCCGCTCCTTATCTCTAAGGTAGACAAGTTAGAATATCACCATCCCGGATCCATTCCTTTGCTCACGTAGATCTATCTTAATTCTCTCGAATCTAAGAATCAATATCTAGACAAAGGAAAATCTCTCGACGCTCTTACATTTCCAATATATATTTCACCAAAACCCCAAGCAATCTCTCAAAAATCTTATAGTGTCAAGGCGAAATATTCAAACAATGAACAAAACAGTTATGAGCAAAATCATAATTCATCATTCATAAAGCAGAAAAGAATTGTTTAGGCAAAACAAAGATTAACACCAAGTAAGACAGTTCGTGGTGTTATCGAAAAGTAAACTAAGTATCATCGTTTAATACAACCCCAAATACGTAAGAAATTAAGAACAAAGGAAGCACGACTCCCAAAACCGAGGGCTCTGTCGTGACAATTCTGATCAACACCACACCTGCCTTGGCGGTCAACCTCTCTTGGGACCTGATCGTCGCTCTGCTACAGTCTGGCTATGGAGGACACCAAGAAAGGTTGGTTGGTATACGGTGGGGAAGCATTGCAGTTGCTTGCTCACACTTTAAGTAAAGCTCTTCTAACTTCCTTGCCTCCTTTTGGCGGCTATGGCTGGGTATTTATGAAGGGAAATCTCCTAGGGTTTCGCATAAACAAAGATTCTCTAGATACCCGTTATTGTCTTGTCTAGGCTAAAAAGGAAAGGCGGTTGGCTGTTGTCAGAATCTTAAGGGCTTGCTTGCACGTGAAGGAAGTCTTACAACTGGCATGTGACATGGGTGATCTCGTCATATCCGCTTCAGACTTTTCAGATAAACCTTGCCTTGGCGAGATAAATCTGCTCCTCACTTTCTTTAACTTCTCTATTCCCTTGGCCCTTACAAATTACGTTGTCGCGACTGAAATGTTTTCCCTAAGTAAATTTCCTGCACATACACAATCCACACAGACCCTTTCTCCTGAGCAGCATCAGTCAAACCAAATAAACTTTGCCGAAGCAAAACTTATCCACCACAAATATAACCTAAATGCAACTAAAATGTTGTGCATACTTTGTTTAGACGAGCAATAACTTAAGTGAAAAGATTAGAAATTGAGTCTTTTTATAGAGTTATTACATAGGTATCTAGGTCACCAATAATTAATATTAAATAGTCCATGATCAAATTTAAAATCCACTCACAACATCCTAAATAAAAAGTAAAGTCTAAATTCCAAAATAAGTCCAAATTACCTTATTAAGAGAAGTCTGTCCGCATGCCGATATAAAAAGCAGCGGCACTTGGCATCATTATTTGTCATCGTCCCCCCACCACCTTCTCTCTTGTTTTCATGGCATCCTTTTCAAACGGAACTCACCCTTTCTCATTGGTCCCATTTTCTCGCCAATTACAATTTCTGGGTTTCTAGACGTGACCCAAAACATAAAATTTGGCTGCTTCTCTGAAATTGAAAACTCAATGATTGTTCGTAGTGACAATGAGTATCCTTGTTCGCTTATTAAAAACCAGAGAACCCACGACTCAACTGCCGCGGAAAAGCTTGAACCTGTCACTCTCACAGGCAAGAAACGGTCCCGTTCTGCTCAATCTAAGGTAATCTTCTCCCTTTTTTTATCAGCAAGAAAATTTAGAAAGCCATCTAACTTAATTGTCATTAAAAATCTTCTTAATCTTAAACAGAAGAGTACGATTTAAACATTAATATACTTAAATATTAAAATTAATCTCAAATATTTACTTTTACTTTTTATTTCTTTTCTTAAAACATTTAACTTATATCATTTTAACTTCTAGTTAAATTAATCTTTATTTGATGAAAATTGTTAATTGATTAATGATCAATTATACTAAAAACGTATTTAAATGTTGATATGTAACATATTATATCATTACTTTAGTTGACATAATACATCCTATATCACATTTCACAATGTGTCATATCATATCATCATTTTTTATGATGTTAAATATGCGACATCATCACCTGAGTGATGCGATAGAAATTTATTTTTTAGAAGTCTTGATTCAAGCAGTTTCATCTATAGTATTTGAGCATTGTTAATAAGTTAAGAAAACATCTTATCATCACCTAGACAATTGGAAAAAATTAGAGATCAAAATGATTACTCGACTAACGTTGAGATAAATTTTAATATTAGATCTTGTTTAAATTTCTACAATTTTGTTTGGTTTTTGCATTAGAGTGCAAACGGAGGGAGAAACAAGAAGATAAGGAAGATAAAGAAATGTGCTCGAGAGCCGCCGAGTGGGTGCGTTCATGTGAGAGCAAGGAGAGGCCAAGCAACCGACAGGCATAGTCTAGCAGAGAGGGTATTGATTTGATTTTCATTACAAGTTTAAATCATTATCGGCTATGGCGTCGACCTTAATTATGGTGTTGAATTGCAGGAAAGAAGAAGGAAAATAAACGAGAGGGTGGAAAAACTGCAGCGTTTGGTTCCAGGCTGTGATAAGGTGCAGTAGTAATTGATCATCTCTTTTCTACGTTCATTTTTGACGGCTCTTCTTGTTGTTTTGCATGGAAATAGATAACCGGAAGGACTCTTGTTTTGGACGAAATTATCAACTATGTTTTGTCCCTCCAACATCAAGTAGAGGTATTTTAACATGTTCTTTTCTATGATTTTCTCAAATCTCATATCGTTTATATGATTTTTAAAATATAATATTATATATATATATATTGAGTGATTAAAGATAAAACCTATGTATGTTGTTGTTACCATCCGACCGACTTGTGCTCATACGTGTCTTTGAAACATACTATACAAATTGTTTCTTTTAATTTGAAAAAAAAACGTTTATTTTTTTATGTTTTTAATCTACTATTCTTCATTTCTTTTATTTTGATCTTACTTGATCTTAGCGTGGGATAAATCATCTACAAGTGTGCCTTCTAAAATATACATTTGAAAGTCGATTTCACGAGGGCATGCCTTTACGAAAAGAATGTCATTTTAATCATTATCATAACATTTGTCTTTTCGACATGTTTTTTTTTTCTAGTTCCTGTCAATGAGGCTTGCTTCTTTGAATATCGTGTTTCATGATTTCGGAGTCGAGCACGAAGCCTTGATGGCCAAACCATTGCCATCACTGCAACAATGCAACCCTACTCAGGCTATTCCTTTTGCTGATACAATCACCGCCGCCGCTGCTTGGGATAATAACATTGTCCTTGTGGATACTTCAGCGGCATTTATAATTGACCAGGATTACGATGGTTTATTGTGGGATGGGGAAGACCAAAGACAACCATTTCTAAATCCATTCCACTGGTGATAAAGAGATTTCATTGTTTAGTTCTCATCAAATTCCCAATTTCTAAGCTCAGAAGGTAGCAACGGCATCACGAAGAAACACCGTCAGATAAATTTTTTATTCTCAAATTGATACTCGAATTTTTATACATTTTCATTTTTCACACCCTTTTTTTGGATGATATGAATTTCGGCAATGGCAATTGGAGAATGATCTGCCATCGATAGCAACAATCATGTGCATTGAACATGCATGGAACACAAACACTCAAATTATCGACTACGTTCCTAAATTTAAATGGAGTTAGAATTTAAAAATTCTGAGTCATCAGAAAATTTAATTTTGTATTTTTATTTTATTTTATTTTTCCTTTGATTTCTCTTTCATTTTAAGTCTATTTTTTTTACCAAATTGAATCACATGATTCTAAACCATCCTAGAATATGTGTATCTTCAGTTTCTCTTTTTGATGTAATTTTTTTATTTTAAATTTTATCCCTCAACTTTGTATGAATACATCTTTTACTAAGTCTATTCTCGACCAAAATTGAATCACATGCTTTTGTACCACTATAAAATTAACTTCAATTACTATTTTTAACTTCAAATTTATTTTTTTTCAATTTAATCTCTTAACTTTATATTTGACTCAATTTGGCTTTTCGACTATTTTTTTTTGTAAATTATTTATTCTTTGACTCCTTTATACTCTCATTAATATTTTATCCTCAAACTATCTTCTTTAAAAATAATATTATAAATATATTTTATAATTTTATATTGTATTTGATTTATTAAATAACATTATAATGAAAAACAAATGAAGGATATATATATCTTATATGGTTAGAGAAAGTCGATAAATTAAAATCAATCCCTATCATAATATTATAAATACTTATAATTAAATTTGTATAATAATTGAAACAACTCGACTTGATTCAACTGGAATTTAATAAACTTGACTTGATTAAAAAATTCAAATAAAGTTTGACTCAAAGTTTGAGTCAATTTCTTTGGAGAAGGATTTGGGTATCAAATTTGGTGGTGACAATAATGAAGTGGTTTGAGAGTTGGCAATGATTGAGGTGGCTACCATGTCATGTCAAACAATATCTAATTATTCTACTTAGACAGTAGGTGTTTTGATGAAATTTATGTCATGGATCATAATGGGGCTGGGGATATCCAAAGGAATCGACAATTACGTAAAGACTTAGGTCACAGAGGGTGGAGATATGATTTTTGCAAGATTCAAAATTGGTTCGATGATTTAAGAAGATGCGCTGAGGATTTGGTACGTCGATGATTTCAATTCCGTTTTAGCATATGCTGTGAGGCAGTACAAGAGGACTTGTTTTTATTTGGGATAATAATTATTTCAGTTTAAAATATAGACTTTTTAGCTCAAGATACATATCTGCATATGGTACGTTGTTTGAAGAGGACTTTGAACATTATGACAATATTTATGCCTTTTTCCCGAGATTCACAACCAAGTTCCATGGTTTATGTTTGTATTGGTTGTTCTGTTGGTGGTAGTGGTAGTGGTGACAATAGTTAAGTGTCTCAAGGTACCTTATAGGTTTTGGTCGATGGTTGTTGATTTTTTTTTTTGGACTTTGTAGTTTTCTCTTAGGTTGTGTTGTACTCTTTTCCTCTATTTAAGTTTAGGGATGTTTTTAACGAGACATGCAACTTCAATTTTATGTCTGCTTGATTAAATCCTTAACAAAATCATATTTGCTGAGGAAAAAAACTTGACTAATTTAATTTTGTAGTTCAACTTGACTCGATTAAATACTCACCCCGTTGAGAGTAGCATTCAAACTCCAACTACGAAGCGCAGTAGTACGAATCTTGACAAAACAAAAGAAAACAGTCTTCCAAGCAAATATTTCCAAAGGTTTTTTTTATTTGATTGCAGTATACGTGATTTGGAATTCCGAGTGCCTTGTTAGATTTGACTATGTAATATGTAATTGCCACTGGGATGAAGTTAAGTTTCTTTCCTTATCCTGCTTAAGTTTGCAATAAAATTTCCTATAAGTTTTTTAGTGAGCCAATAATAATATAAGCTGTTGTCTTGTTGATGATGACTTTTGTTAGGTTAAATGAAGCACTCCTAGTTTCTTCATTTATCTCTATTCTCTACTGCATTTTAGTTGATTCATTTGATTATATGTTGATCTGTCGTTTTGTATTATCATATATTAATTTCTATAAAATAAACGATTCATTCCTCTTATTTAGACCGTTGTTTTCTTTTCATATACAAAAGATATTAAGGCAGAGGAGAGTACGATTTGCATGGGAAATGGTCCCATTATATACTGAAGCTCCACACACAAATCAGACATTTAAGATGTCAATAATGTAAGCCCCATTAATAAATTTTGAAGAAAAAAACAAATAGATTGAATGTTCAATTCTCAATTTAATCGGTTTCTTACTAAAAAAATAGTGGGTCAAGGCGCCTTTACTTCCTACTAGGAGGAAAATGTTAGAAATTTTGATTTCTAATATTGATTCATATAATTTAAGTGATAATTGTTGTTGTTGTACACACGGTGATGATTAGTGTAGTATTAAGGAGACAATTATCGGGTGTAAATCCCTCCGTCCCATACCGTGAAAATATAAATTTGAGTGGTGTTATGTGTAATTGAAAAGTATAGGGGTTTTTCGGTTATTTTATGATTTAAAAAACATAGTGAAATTAGTTTTTTTTAAAAATATCACGTAGCATATAGTTTTTTTTCTTCAAGGCTCTCTCTTTTTCTCTCCTAAAAAAGAAAATAAGAACACTCTCTTTTGGGGTTCTAATTCTTTCATCAAGAATCGAACAAGTCTTGATATCATCACAAGGTGAATTGAGGATTATACAGTATTGGGATTGGATAATATTTATTATTTCTTGCTTTTGGGATATTCAACTGTCATAATGGAATAATCAAATAAGTTTTCATTTCTTTTACTGTAATTCTTAATAATTATGTCATGAGCTTGATTTAATTACCCTATCAAGATCCTTATGTGTTAGTTGCTTTTGTATGCAAGATTAATTGGTTTTAACACTTGACCTCAGAGCCAGGTTTGATAGGAATTAAATCACCAATTTAGGTTTCATAAGAAATTTGGGTATTTTTTTATTATGAAAGGTTTCATAAGAAATTTGGTATTTTTCTTATTAAAGGTTTCATATGAAATTTGAGTATTTTCTTATTGAAGATTAATTGAAGCTGCAAATTGATAATTGATTATGATATTGATGTTAAATTGATTGTTAATTTATAAGAAATAATGATATGATCTCAGTTTGATGGTGAATGGCATTACCGTGACAAGTGAAGTTGCCAAGGCAAGTAGAGTTAATGACGTTGTCGTGGCAAGTGAAGTTGTCGTGGCAAGTGTAGGATCAGATCAAACAATTTTTTATAATGATTTAAATTTTTAATATTTTAGTGAGTGTGTTAGTCACCAAAGTGACCCACTTGAAATTCATTAAATGATTTATATTATGTTTATAAATGTTTATTTGATGTAGCAACATAAATGACATTTAAGAATAGTAAATATTTATAGTTATTAACATGTAGTTATACGATTATCCAAAAGTAGATCTTACTCATGGTTAATAATTGAAGTAGGTTATGAACTTTGTTTAATTAATATATAAGTTACATCCAACGATGACTTGTATGTTAAACTTAATGATTGACCTATATATGTTATAAGAATGATGCATGTTTGTTGATTGTTGGTTGTGTTTAGATTTAGCCCAAAGGTGAATTTAAATGCAATGTTTTGGTATATGTTATAGTCTGAATTGTGGTTTAAATTCAAAGCAATTAATATGTAAGATGTAAATGTTTGCAATGGTCTCTACTATGTCAAATGTGACTGCCAATGGTACCAAGTTTAATGGGCATAACTATGATGATTAGATTGAATATATCAAGCTAAATACTGGCCTTTTGGGACTCAATTTAGCTCTAATTATGGATGAGCCCTTTAAACCGACCGATACTAGTCTAGAGGCAGACAAGAAACTGTGGGAGAACTGGGAGAGATCGAATAGGCCTATGATGAGCTTTCTTTAGCTTAGCATAGCGCATAATATTAAGCTTTCTCAGTCCAAGACTGAGAATGTCAGGGAATTTGTGGCTGAATAAAGAAGTGTACTATGGAAAACATTGTGGATAAGTTTGTTGTTGCTTCTCTTATTGATGATTTATTTAATAGAGAGTACATTGTAGCTCAGTCAATGGAAAAACACATTACTCATATGGTGAACACCTACAACAGGCTTTAAAGTTTGGATATGGATCTTGGTGAGAGGGTGTTGGTTAAGTTCATGCTGAAATCATGTAAGGGTGATGATTTCAAGCAATTTTGGAGAATATACAAACAACTTAAGGAAAAACGGTCTCTTTCGGATACTAAGGTCATGCTCTTGTAAGAGGAGGCAATGCAAAGGGAAGGCCTTAAGGTCAAACTTCCCTAAGACAACTTTGCCTATTGTGGTAATTCAAACGTTGGTTCTAGTGGCAGCAAAGGTCCAACTAAAAATGGAAGAACAAGGGAAAACAACCATTTAAGGTACAGTCCGATAAAGGGCAATGAGGGGTTGAAAAGATACTAGAATGTTTCTTTTGCAACAAACCTGGGCACAAGAAGGGTGATTGCCCAAAGAGGAAAGCATGGCTTGAAAAGAGAGGTATACATTTTGTTTCCATATGTTTGAATCAAATCTGATTGAGGTATCAAAACAGGCTGGCACAAGGAGTAGTGGATTACTTGATTTAATACACACATATATTATGGTCCTTTTGATGTACTGTCTTAGGGCGGTGAGAGGTATTTTATCACCTTCATTGATGATTACTCTAGGTACTGTTACCTATATTTATTGTATGAAAGAACTCAATCAGTTGATGTCCTTGAGACATTTATTACGGAGGTTGAGAGACAGTTAAATATAAAGGTTAAGGTAATATTTTCTGATAGAGATGGTGAAT